CCATTTCTTTTCATACTTGATATTATAATAATAGTATACTATGATTACATAGTATAGAATTACGTATTGTGTGTCACTAAAAAAGGGGGAGAATACAAAATGTCAATAAAATAGATAACTGTTTCTTTATGTATTTTCCTTCAGTATATGTATTAAATCAGAACGTTATAGTTCGTTTAAAAGAAACAAACAAACAAACAAAGGATACAATTGTTTCGTGTTATTGTTAAATAGTTGAAAAGTAAAATGATCCAAGGGTTCACAATCAAAGAAATCAAATACTAAATTAAATTATACTTTGAAATAGAAAAATTTCGATAAAATTAATCAAATTTCAAAATGATTATCCTAAAATCTACGTTGACTGTTTTAAGTTTTTGTGGATGCTGGCTACCACCATCCTGGTCAATTTCATTTTCCAAACGTCTCGTATATCATTTGTATACAATATTTGTTGCTTTAATAATATCAACCTTAGCTTTTTCACAAGCAATAGGAATTATCTTAAACGAAGATGTTTCTATTGATTCTTCCGACGACATTTATATATTTCTTGCTGAAGGAATATCTTGTTTTAAAATGTTAAGTCTTGTGATTAATCGTAATAATATTGTTAACTTAATTAGTTCTTTGAAACAAGAACCATACAAACCATTTAACGATGTAGAAACTAGGATTCAAATCAAATTCGATAATTGGTCGAGGTTTGTAATACAAATTTTATTATTTTTTATATTATTTATTTATTCAATATTTTAATATATATATAATTTAATTGTTATTAATTATATTATTACATTTTATGGGATTAAAAGGAGAAAAGTATTCTTAGGTTGATTGTTTGAAAAATTTTCAATTTAACATTGCAACAATTTTTCTTTCCAATTTGTTTTTAGTTGATGTTTAAAACTTTTCATAGAATAATTTTCTTATTATATAAAATAATATAATTAAGTTTAACATTGTATGAAAAAACATCGTGTTATTTTTATTTTTATTTTTATTTTATTTGATGGTTTAATATATTTAAATATTTCTTGATTTTGTTTGTTTGTTTTTAGATTGAACACACAGTGTTATTCGTTTTTACTCACGTTATCCGTCTCTTATTTCTTATCTACTTCATTATTGACTAATTTGAAAAATAAACAATTAACTTTTCGAGTATGGTTGCCGTTTGATAATAACATGAATAATTTAATATTTTATTTAATTAACGTGCATCAAGCAATAGCACTTATATTAGGTGCCATGCTTCACGTTGCTTTGGATTGTTTAATATTTGGTTTCCTTTTACACGTTTGTTGTCAAATTCAAATTTTGGAAAATCGTTTGATGATGATCAGTAATGACAATAAATCTTTTTTAAGATTATGCATTCGTCATTACGACTGTATATGCAAGTTAGTTTATTATTATGATTTTAGAATAATTATTTTTATAAATGTGAATTGTGAAAAGTTTTGAGTTTAACACTGAAACAATATTTTTGATTAATATTATTTTTGTTAAAATAAATTACAGATTTGCCTATAACGTGAATAATATGTTCGAGTTGATGGTATTTATACAATTTTTTATTACAACATCGACAGTATGTTTTACGTTGTATCAATTAACGAAAGTATCACCAATGTCATTGGATTTTTTTAAAATAATACTTTACATGTGTTGCATATTAATGCAAATATATCTTTACTGTTGGTATGGAAATCTTGTTGCCACAAAGGTTTGATAAAATATTATTAATTGTTTATCAAATACTTACATAACTAATATCATATTTTCCTTATATATATATATATATTAACATAGAACAAAATTACATTTCACTAAAATGAAATAATAATAATAATAATAATAATAATTTATTTTGCAGAGTGAAGAAATTGCGAAGAAAATATTCGAAATAAATTGGACAACGTTAAACGAAGATATAAAAACATGTTTGTTGTTTATGACGAAACGTACGATGAAACCAATCGTTTTAGTTGTTATGAAGATTCTTCCCATCAATCTCGTTTCTTTCGTCAGTGTTAGTATAATAACAATCTTTTTTTTTTTTTTTTTTACTATAATACTTCGTAAGAACTTCATAATCGATATTCCTCCATACTTTTTTTAAATCATTGTATTTGATTTTTCAGATACTTAAAACTTCGTACTCGGCATATAACTTCATGCAACAGACGGATGTACAATAAAATCAAGAAAAAAGAATAAACAACAAAATAATAAGGAAGAAATCATAAATGAAATATCATAGAAAGGGTAAAAAAGAAAGAAAAAAAAAAAAAAAAAGAAATACGAAAGGGAAGAAAAAGATAAAACATACATCACTGTTGTGTTATCATCCTGCTGTTTAGCTGCGTTGTATGCTTTGCACACGTGCATATGCATACCACTGTTTGTATAAATAATTCGTTCACGTTATTAATATTTAATAGTATTAGAAAATATAGGGAACAACGAAGAAAGGAAAGAAGAAAAAAAAGAAACAAGAAATAAAATATTATTTTACTTGCAATGAAAATAGTCTCGATTCATCCTATATTTCCTTGCTTTTTTTCTTCTTCTTCTTCTTCTTCTTCTTCTTCTTTTTCTTTTTCTTTTTTTTTTTTATTCTTTTTTCCTAAAAGATAGGAGGAAATATTATTTCTTGGTAATATACAACAATTTGTCTCCTATATCATTTGACAAATCATCGATAATGAAAATCACTGTGTTTTGAAAGAAAAATACCTGTAAGATAAATGATAGTTTTACTATCTAAGCTAACTATTAACTTAAAATGGGGGGAGGGGGGAAATGGGGGAATAAGAAATAATTCATCGAATATGATATCTTTTTTTTTCTTCTTCTTCTTCTTCTTTAGTATTGTTGTAACACTATAGTTTTAAGTGACAGTACAAACCTTAGTACGATCATGTGACAAAATTCTTGAAGATCTTGAAATGTGTATTTACAATTTTATTGACATTTCAAAATAATTTCTAATAACTTTCTTTATTATCTTATTCAAATATTGTTTTTTTTTTTTTTTTTTTATTTTCTTTTTTTATTGTATTTAGAAGAATTTATAATAATGCGTATTTTAACATTGGCATTTAAAATTTTAATATTTTGTGGTATATGGAAACCAATAGCATGGGAAAAAAGTACAAGTAAAAATATCATTTACGGTATTTATACATTTCTCGTGATATTTTTTGTTTATTCATTTTTATGTTCACAAATGATTGACATGATGAACGTTGATAATATGAATGATTTTACCGAAAGTTCTCATATGTTATTGACGATGGTTATCGGTTTTTGTAAAGCAGTTAATGTATTGATGGCACGTGATAAAATTGTTAAATTGATTGACATATTAACCGATGGTACATGCATATCTTTAGATATGGAAGAATTCAAAATTCAAAAGCAATATGATAGAACTATTCAGTGAGTTTAATATATATCTGTTTTATTTTTTTATTTTATTTAAATATTAACTTATGTTCATATATATATATATATATATATATATATA